CATCATCATCATCATCATCATCATCATCATGATGTTCAAACTAATCGTTCCAAAGACTACACTAAGTTATTCAGTTGCCTTATTTCAAGTGTACGAAAATGAGATACTATTTTATAAGCCTAGTATTTATAAATATATTTGTCACAGTTTTATATTTCTTACTATACTTAGATTAATTTTTTTCTTGAGTCTTTCAATTTCAATCTTTTAGTAAAGTTAAATGTAAAATATATTATTAATATTAGTATCAATGCCTTTAATTTTAGGCATTGTGATTGGCGCGTTTGCTTTGACGTACCTTCCCGTGTTTGCTTGTACTCTGGTGGAAGCCAAGCTCGGACATGGAGTCATTCCTCAAAAGTTGTTCTCCTTTTTCGCTGCTGTTATCTTCTTGAACAGTGCCATTAATGCTGTTGTCTATTCGTTCCGTTCACAAGTGTACAGGAAAGAGTTTAAGAGGATCGTGAGGGATCTCGTGAGAAAATTTGTCCCTGGATTTGGTGCACAGGAAGGCCATTGCTTTCATGTTGGGGAACCACAACCTCTTGGCTTGTCTCTCCATGCACAAGAAGCGGCCCAAACGCAAGCCTCGTCTAGTGGTGCCATACAGAAAGCTTAATTTAGATAAGTGTAAAAGAAGAATGAAAAAATCTAAATTGGTTTCCATGTGGTAGTGTAAATAATTGATGACATATGAGTCGTCTTTGCCATCATCACGTATGCCGGCAGCCATGTTAGAACAATCCCTCACTCTGAAGCAGTTGAATTCTTTCACGTAAAATGATTGCATTTTTCCTGCCATCTAGCATGGCTGAAAAACAAGAATTAGACTGCTTTATAATTATTAATCGTTTTCAAGTTTTAAATTAAAAACATAATCATTTGTTCATTTATTTCAACTATAAACCTACGTCCATCTATCCCATCCAAAATTTGTAAATAACTGCTCAAAGAGCTGTAAATACAAAAATAAACATAGATAAACAAATGCACCTTTGACTATGGTATTCTTATTAACAAAAGTAAAAGACTGAAGAAGTGTAGTGTTCCCAGTTAATGTATGATAAATATCATAATATTTAGATATATATTATAATTTCTCTCTCCTGGGTCGCCTTTTGGATGAACATTAAAACGAGGCTGACCTCCAATTATATAAGTCGAATAAAACAAAACGAAAGGGCCTCTATTTCCTTTGCTTTTGGTTCTTTCGAGTTCTTTTTCTTGGACTTTGTCCAATGAAGCTCTTGATTGTTGTTGCGCCTTTTTTACCTCTTAGCATCCGTAAACGTTTGCCCAGAAAAGAGCGTCTCGCGCGTTTTCTTGTCGCCAAGGTAACGCCTCTTCTTTGTCTTTCCTTCTTCAGTTTGATTTCTGTAGTGTAAAGTTCTTTTCCAATATGACTTATTTTTGTTACTTTCAAAGACGAAGGAGTAGCATCGAAGGCGGTAAATCCACCAGTCAGGCCATAAAACAACCTGGAAGACGGTCAAAGGAGAATTTATCTCACACAATCCTAGTTATTAATCAACTCTATTGTTGTTATTTTATATATAAATATGCATAGAGGTTTCGAATACAATTTAGAATTATATTAGTTTTTATTTATTTATATGAGTTGTGAGTACACATGCATTTATTTCAGTCTTGCGAAGAAAAAACTAGTTTCAAAACCCTTAAATAAACCCATAAGAAGCTAGAGCAGGGCTAGAGACACGATTGGGATGATTTGCATTAGGTACGGACATGCGCAGACATCATTTTTCCACTCCTGACCAGATGATTTGATCTCATGAAATTTTCTTACTTACTTGAGGGAGTTTTTTGGTAGAGTAGAATAACTCATTGGAGCGTGGACAAAGAAGTTACCACCACCGGAAATAAAGTAATGCACGCTGGAATCCTCTTCTTTAATATGCTGAAGGTAACAGACGATGAAAGGCAAATATCAGTTGATGCTTTGTAATCATTCACAGCATCTATACGGTATATACATATTGGGTACTATAAAAGGTTTCATAGATCATCTCGCGCATATACGGTTTTACAATCTCGTACCCAGAGCCTTATTTCTTACTGCGCACGCTCGTCGAGAATGCGCAGTAAGAAATAAGGCTCTGGGTACGAGATTGATAATAATTTATTTCGTCGAGCATGCACAATAAAAAATAAGGCATTCTCCTACCCAGAGCGCCTCCGCTTCGTTCCTGCCCGTCGGAAGCTCTGGTAACAGCCGTTTCTAGTCCGATGCTGATTGGTCCAAAAAGCCGCGCATGCGTCAGCTTATCAAGTACTTTATGCTAAATGCTGATTCGTGATTGGTTGAATTTATTCGGTGCTCAGAACATTTTAAGTTTAGAATACTTCACGCATAAATACGGCTGACTAAATTTCCTCTTAGAATGCAGGAGAGTTTGACTTTTGATGAATAATTTTAGGCAAAGAAATCCAAATATATCTTTTTTCTTATAGCCAGAGGATGCTAGGCAGTGTTTTGTGGAAAATTTCAGGTCTATTTTCGAAGATTTTCGTCTCTGACCTTGCTTGTAGCATGCTGCAGCTACATTTTTGACTTATACCTCAATTTCCTTCAAGTCCAGAAAGCAGTATTTTACTAGTTCATGTGATAAAAGCCTAAAACAATACTCTTAGTTAAATTTTTTGTGACAAGCTATATTTATGTTTGCGCAACGGAAACTTTATAAAAATGAAAAAGTATAAATATATATTAGATTGTATTAGAAGATTATAAAATATCAGAGTGATTTCAAAAATCTTTTGAAATACAGTAAAACCCCGCGTATAGGAACCTAGATTTTTCCAAGTCAGCCTGAACAGGTTCTTATATAAATGGTGCTTAACTTGAAATCAGGCTATCTAGGTTCTTAAATGGGTTCTTAATTTATGGTAAGAAAAAGAGTACTTGTATGGTGCGCGTGGCATTTTAACACATTAAAAGCACATAAATCACACAAAATAGTGCTAAGTTATGCACATGTTATTGTTTTATATTGTTTTACAAAGTACAGACCCTTTTACTATAAAGTGTTGTGTTGTACTCACTTGACGTCTCTGAATTTATTGTTTTCAGTTTCTTTGATATTCAAATTTAAAAAGGATAAAGTTGATCATGTTGCACAACCCTATTATATGAATGTACTGTGGTGTTATGACACTGCCAGGGTTCTGGCCAAATCTTGGTCAATCAATGTTTATATAGAGTGCTTACATGAAATAAGATCTAAGTACTGTAGTTACTACCTAACAGTTTTTATTCAGTGACTATTAGTCTTTACTATCCAACTGGAACAGCTTTAGAAACAAATACACAAGGAAAGTACTGTACTAAATAAAAACTGCTAGGTAGTAACTACAGTATTTAGCTCTGATTTCATAGACACAGTGTAAGTACTCTAACATACAGAGTACTGTGTTTTATTATTTACAAGAAAATAAAACAGATTGACCGTTTATCTTTGGAAGTTAAGAACCTACTTTGAAATTTCATCCTGAAATGGTTCTTATGTGAAGGATGCTTAAAATGAAAATGTCAGCCTGACAGGTTCTAAAATTTTAGGTTCTTATGTGTGGGGTTTTACTGTAATCAAAAGTGCCTATTTAATGAACAGGCCTATATTTAAACCTCATGATGACAGAGCAGAAAAATGACAAGGCTGCTACTTTCGCAATTTTTTTCTTTATTTCTCATTCATGCTATAAAAAAAAACGTTTAGTGTTTCATTCGTGTCTCTTGTGCTTTAAACTTTTCACAAAATTCTGCTAACCTCGAGCAATTCTACTTCAAGGTATTAGCGAAAATGTTAATTTTTGTGCTGATCGACTTATCATCTCTCCCAACGTTCTGGGCGTTATATCTCAAATACGTTTCCCTTTAAATTTCCCCAAATTTTGGTATTCTGTTAATCAGCCCCAAAAGAGCCTGTTTATGACATATAAAGCTTATTAACGCGTAAACGTCGAAAGTAGAACCCGTTTTTCTGCCCTGTCCCTCATGATAGAAAGATTAAATTTCTTGGTATCATGAATCCGTCGGCTGTATGATTCTTATTTCCTTTCAGCCAGTAAGAAATAAATCCAATCCACTGTTTTCCCACTAGAACATGAAAGCCATTCCCTAGAGTATGATTTATTTACTTAACTATGGTAATGCATCAGAAGACACATGAATTTCATATGAATACAGCTCAAACAAACTGAATCTTACTCACAAGCAGGATGACACCTGTTCTGAAAGGGATAAAAAGTATTATGTATTGATGGATTTGGTCCATTCCTAGATCCTCACAAGCCACACAAGCAGGGGTTTGGTTAAACTTTAAATTAATGGAAGAAGGTCATTTTCGTTAAGTTAGGAAAGACAGAAAAGCATAACTCTGCTTTTCGTGGATCGATTTTGCGACTAAAGATTTGAAGCTAATAAAAATTGTATAAAAAAAAGAACAATCCTTTGTGCATAGCGTAGGACTCGAACCCTTCGACAGAAATTCAAAAAAATCGATTCCACTTTGCCATACCCCCGAGACATCCGCAGAGCTGAGGCGGCGTATGGACTTCGGACCTGACGGCGATTAAATCCTTCTGCCCTT